CAAAATTGATGCATTCAATAGCCTGAAATTTCATAAAATCCTAAAACAGTTTCTAGCAAAAGCAGAACTAAGGATCTTACATGGCTTACAATAAGAGCAATATTGTGCTTCAAATAACATCACAGATTTACGCTAGGAGAAACACACAAGTATTTCAGGAATCGATTATCAAACTGCGGGAAACTGGCTGAGAACAATGCTCAATAACCTGCAATGCCTTTGTCTCTAACTATGAGCAAAGTTAATTTCTAACACCAACAAAACTCAGAATCTCACATAGGACTAGATAGTATAATGAACAAGATTTTAGCTTCCTTTTCTTTTGGCACTACTTTCGAGTGCTATCCAATCTTCACTACCAAATATGCTAGTGGACTCTTGAATCAGACAGTCCAACACTAGCCAAGAACTTTGCTCAACACGTGTAGGATCCAGTTGGAAAAGTAATCATTTGAGATATGCAGTTATAAATCAAGCCTTGCCAAAAATTATTTCGACAATCAGATTCTAGTGAATGAAGCACAAACCATTGGAGTAAATGCCACCGAAACTCTAGGGAAAAGATAAATTTAGCTTGGTTCTAAACTTGTCCGTGGGATTTGATGAACAACACCGTTCTTTAAAATATCGTTGTTCAAAAGCAACATGAAGATAGTAACAATTTGAGCCACTTATGGGAGGACTAGAATTGAATGGTCGAGAATCAGTTGCCTGGCTATCAAATTCATGTTCTCAGCTACCTAAAACATATTACAAATATATGAGAACCTGAATGAATAGCACACAAGAAAACGCACGGTCATAAAATAAGACATGTCTCAGAAAGACTTGCTGAACTTTTAAAACGATAAAATAGATCATAGTTTTAATAAAGGAGGATAAACTCTCTTTAATATTCCTGCTTTCAATCATGTAAGGATTAATGACACCAAAATCAGTAAAAGAATTGCACAATCTACCCTGTCAAATATGCAGAGTAGGCTCCTAACTTTTAAAATTGTGCTTTTACCACCAAAATTGGATCACACTTTGAAAAGAAGATAAGAACGACAAATTTGCCTATCCTTTTAAGACCAAGCTATTCCTGAAACCTCGTAAATGCTTAAGGTAATTGATGATGATTAATAATCAAATGTCTAGTTTGTTATTCAAGTTCTAAAATACCTGCTGGGCTATAGAACTTTTGTGGGACATTACCATTGGTTGCTTTTGAACGATGGAAAAAGGGAGTACAACCAATGTGATTATTTAAAAAGGCTCAATCAGGTGCCGAGAAATTTTATCTTAGTGAAGTGAGGCATAAGCCTCATGACAAACCAATAACAGAATTCAAAATAATGTACAGATACATAAATATGCTCTTGAGGTAATGATTAAACCATTGTGGTCTAGTTTTTCACATGGGAGCATTAATAGTTAAGTCCTTGGTATGGAACTTCTGGAACTCCAATGGCATTGCCAGTCCCACTTGAGGAGGTAGGAGGATAAGCTAACTTGGGGGCCAGAGTTAGAATACTGCCTGGGGTATGTGCTTGTGACCAGGGGGTATGAGGAGGAACAGGTTATCACCAAAAAATAACTGAATCCTGCTTGTATGATGATCTGCTTGACAGTTTCTATTTTGAGTATAACTTAATGGTTAATGGTGATTATACTTGGCCTGCAATTGTGAATCTTCAGGAGAAAAACACATTTATAACACACATACGCAATCACTGAGTTAGTGAGCTCATTCTCACCTACCAGGTAAAGCGGACTGTAGCAAGCTTGATCTTGTGATCCCTTGCTGCTAACTTCTTGTGGACCTCCTATTTTAATTTCACAACTCATCCATTTAAATTATCTACTGCTGCTTGTGTCATGTCAACAATCTCAAATACCCAGTCATCCTCAAAGGTGCATTTGGGACACTTTTTGTATTAGGGACGATAGTATTAAGGACAATATTAGAGTGGACAATGTAAGTTTGGAATAAGGTGTATTTTCAAAATAAAAGAGGAATTACCCAAGACTAATTCACTAAAGATATGTAGTTTGAACTCGAAGGGAAATTCAATTGGACTAATTAGCAATAAAAGCATGCAACTACACTCAACAGCAAAGTTTAAATCAAATAATTAAGTCAATCAGATTTCGCTGAAAATTATTATGTGAATAAGGCAGTCACTGAAATTGTGGAAAGAAAACTGAATGTGTTCAATTCCCCTCTTTCTCCTTTACTCTAGATGATGTTCTTCAAACAGTTCCCTTAATCTCCCTCCTTTCTAAAACCACTGGTGGCCTTACTTTTTTATCTTCTCGCTCTTCTTCTAATTTTCCTTTTTTTCATCTCTCCTTTCTTTGGCTTTAGTATTAAATTTTAATTTTTCTCCCTTTTTTCTTTTCTCTGTTTCTGGCTGATCTCCTTTCCTTTTCTTGCATCTTTCGTTTTGCTTCAGAGGAGAAGAGATCTTTAGGACTTCTAAAGCTCCACAATCCAACCACCTTTTTCCTTCTCTCACTGCCTCTTCTGCTCTTCCTCAGTTTCCTTGCACCAGATAGCATAGAGGTGTGAAACAAATGGCCTCATATGGCCTCACAAATTAATGTTCAACATGCATAAATGTGACATGATGCACATGAACGACTTGATGAATGAATTAGACTTACAGATGAGAAACCAAAGATTGAGGCAACTGGCAAGAACAGAGGTACCTGAGTATTTTCAGTTGCATTAAATAAAGTAAAATATGGAGCTGGTCTCTAGACAGTATAGATTGTAAGAATGGGTTATATATCAGAGTCAAACACATGATAGAAGATGTTTAGGATCATCGACGGACTAAAAACATTCCCAGGAATATGAAAACAAAAAGATATATGTATAGCACAAGAAATAAGAGGTGGTCTGTTACTATCATTAGGAGTTCTTCACAGGGTGATTGATATATTATTTTGGTTGAATAAAAGTCAGAAAGGAAAATGATAAATGAAGACCATTCCCAAAGGAAATGATAAATTGCAACAATCTCAAAAAATAGGACAACTCTTTCCACCAAATAATGTAACTATTCAAAATAGTAGAATGCCATTAGGTTGTCTGACTAAATAGGCCATCATTTACAGAGAATGCTTTGGTACTAAAATACTACTAAGATGAAAAAAGGAGAATGTGGGAAGTAAATAATAAACGGAACACCAAAAAAAAAAGGGAAAAAGAAATAAAGTTTACACAAGCTCAGCAGGAAATTTACTAAAACTGAAAATTGAGCCCTGTGGAACTGCTGACAGATTTTTTGCTCTATACCATTCCCAAGTACTCGAGCCACAGCAATCCAGAAAACATTAGTAAACAAGTAGAAGCAAGGAAAAAACATTAAAAAGTATTTTGGAGAAAATAATAAACACAAAAATTATGATTTGAATAGATTATTGTAAGAATTACTGCAGGTTACAAGCTTAAAAAATCAACTGTAGGAGATATTTGCAACTTACAAAAGGAATCAAGGATGAAAAGAAAAAGACCATTTTGACATATGCAACAAAGTCCTAACGCGAAAACCTGACAGAGAGACATCCTCGAGAATTAGCTTTTGAAGAAAATTGGACATAAAGGAAGGCCCACAAAGGTAGTATTATTGGCCCCACCAATAATCACCACAAGAACAAGTTCCATCTCTAAAACGGTGAAATCAACTAGCATCCCTCACAACAATTTCTCGTTTAGTAACCATGCCTATTAGTTTAATTGCATTATGGCAGTCGTTGCAAATGCTATGACTTTGCACAAGTTGCAATGCGGTTTAATCAGAAGTACTGATTAGCTCAAATGAAACAGCCAACTTTTCACTGTGATAAGTAAGCATGCGCTCTTCTCCTTCATCCACATCAGGATGTAAGGTTCTTCCTTCAGGAACATATCCATTTCTAGCAATCTCCAGCATTAAGTTATCCAAATTATCATAGATATCCTTGGTTAGATGATGGCATTTATCTCCAATGAGGAAAGCATGTGGTTGTTTCTTAATTTCTATCCAAGTACATGCTGGCAACATTCTCAAGCCTTTTCTCTTCGAGGTTTTCACGACTTCAGCCGCTTCTACCAAGTTCCCAACATTGGTAAAAATATTCAAAAGTACAACATAATTAGATAGCTTTTCTGGTCCCATCGCGTAAAGTTTCTCAGCAGTAAATTTCCCAAGCACAAAATTCTTGTGGACCCTACAAGCTGTCAGCAAGGCAGCCCACATGTTTATCGTAGGCCTGAATGGAGCATCTCTTATCAATGCAAAAGCTTCATCCAGAAGCCCTTCTCGGCCTAATAATTCAATCATGCAAGCGTAGTGCATTGCTCGAGGTTTCACCTTATAATCCCTACTCATTGATTCAAATGTTTCCCACCGACGATCAGATAGCCCTGAATAACTACAAGAAGATAAAACTACTAAAAATGTAACATGATTAGGAACCATTCCTTCAGAAATCATCATCCTCGATTCCACAACCATGATTGCCATATCCAGATATTAAGGCATTCCAAGACAAGACATTCTTTTTTGGCATCCTCTCAAAAACATGTCGAGCATCTTCTATCCTTCCCCATTTGCAATAGAAGTCTACAAGTGCTGTGTTAGCAACTATATCTAACCCAAAACCATGACGAACTAGCCCAGCATGAGCTTGTTTGGCATGCTCTAATGAGGCTAGTCTTGTACAAACTCGTATAATAATTGAAAATGTAAAATGGTCCATTTTGACACAGAATCTTGCATTTCATAATACATTTTCAATGCTTCCTCACTATAGCCATGAAGTGCATAACCCACAATAATACTATTCCATCCTACCGTGGTTTTCTCTGGCATCTCATTGAAAACAAACCTTGCATCCTCTACGCTACCACACTTGCTACACATGTCAATCAAGGCACAGGACACAAAGATATCATCATACAGGCCCACCGTCAAAGTGCAAGCATGCAATTGTTGTCCAGGAGATATGAGTTCCAACCCAGCTGAAGATCAAATCATCGGCACGAATGTCCGAGATCCAACATCCACGAACTCCTCCCACATCATCAAGAACAACCTAAATGCCTCTACATAATCTCCAACATCCACAAGCTCCCCAATTATGATGTTCCAACTCCTCTCAGGCATAGTATCAAACAACATACGTGCATCAATCATCATCCCGCATTTTCCGTGGATCAACAACACCCTGTTTCTTATATACAAATCCGGCTCAAACTCAGAATTTAGCATATAATTAAACACCCTTTTGACGCCTCTAATTGATCTCAATCCAATGCAAGCACTCACCAAAGCATCATAAGTACTGGAATTAACATCATTGTCATCCTGGCATTCTAAAATCTCGAACAATTCAAGAGCCTCGCGTTACCTCTTGCACAAAAACCAACTTCTCTATTTGACCACAAATTCCAGAATTAAACTTCGAACCATCCAAATGGGTTTCTGTTTTTTCCTTCAGATTCATATCTTCTGTTTTTAAGGGTTTAGGCATGGGTCGGGGCCTTAAGCCTTGTTGATCTAGAAAAGAACACCGAAATTGGAAAAATAGGACTCTGCATTTTTTATTTTTAAATAAAAAACACTCGGAAAAAGATGATCCATGTTTCAAAATAGTGGGTTTGGCTAGTGAACATGCATATCTGCAACTGCTTTGAATTTGATCTAGAGGCAAAGAGATGTCCATATGCTAATATAAAATGGTTTCTGAAAATCAAATTCAGCAAAGCAAGATAAACTTGAAAAGAACTAGCTGTACAGAGATTTGGATGTGAAGAAATTGGTGCAAGAATTTGACAGGGAGATTGTCAGCTTTGAAAGATCCGCCAGTTTTAGTTTTTCTCGTTTTACTTGCAACGTCCAGTCGTGCGGCTCGTGCCCCAAGTTGGTTGTTTGTAAAACTACGCTCAATTAAAAAGGAAAGGAAAATATCAAATCGATTCTTTTACTACGTGTAGGGCTGTGATTGATTCTATAATTGATTGACATCAAGCACTGATCTCGTTACACAGAAGTTGCAATTTGGGGCAAGCGGAAATCGGTTTAATTTCACAAACGATCACTAAAGTTTAAAACTTGTAAAAATGATCACTGAATTTTCAAATTTTTTGGGCAAGTTTTGCGGCGATTTTTCGACAACTTCCGACCACCAAGACTGCCGGATTTGGATACCGTTGAAAAGCCCACAATATCCTCTTCAATTACTACCAAAAATCTCTCCATAACTCCAAGGGATTCGACTGACATATACCCACGAAGTCGGTTACCGAAAAATCTGAAAATCTACCCAGATTTTCAGATTTTTTAGGTGAGTTTGTGACAATTTTCCGACAACCAATACCGTCGGTTTCGAATACCATTGGAAAACCCACAATTTCATATTTAATTACCACGAAAAATCTCCTCATAACTCTAACGGATTTGGCCAGAATAAACCCACGAAGTCAGCTACCAAAATTGGGCAGATTTTTTTGGTAGCTGACTTCGTAGGTTTATTTCGACCGAATTCGTTAGAGTTATGGGGAGATTTTTCATGGTAATTGAAGATGACATTGTGGGCTTTCCAATGGTATCCGAAATCGATGGTATTGGTGGTCGGAAGTTGTCGGAAAATTACTGCAACTCGTCCAAAAAATCTGAAAATCTGAGCAGATTTTCAGATTTTTTGGTAACCGACTTCGTAGGTATATGCCGGCCGAATCCCTTGGAATTATCTGTGTTAATTGAAGAGGATATTGTGGGCTTTCCAACGGTATCCAAATCCGACAGTCTTGGTGGTCGAAAGTTGCAGAAAAATCGCCGCAAAACTTGCCCAAAAAAATTTGAAAATTCAGTGACCGTTTTTACAAGTTTTAAATTTCAGTGATCGTTTTGTAATTTTCAATAACTTCAGTGACCGTTTGTGAAATTAACCCAGAGGAAATCTATAAGAAAACTCAACTTTTAAATAGTGCCTCTATTGCAAAGACTCGACTCTCTAAACTTACAATTAGGACTTAATAATATTTGTTTGAAATAACTTATATCTACATAATGAATCATTTATAACTTTTATAAAAATATTCTTTTAAAAAAAATTGGTCCAACCTTTTACATTATTTTATAGATCTAAATAATTAGCAAAAAATAAATTAAAAATTTTAATTTAAAAATTTTAATTTTTCCCCTAAAATAAAAATTTATACTTTATATATTTTTTGTAGGTTTTTATGCAATGACTCGCTGGTTGAACTATCGGATCACCGGTTGAACCACCAACACATTGACCCGTTGCATTGTCCGGGTCTATGTACGGGTCGAGTCTAACAACTATGATTAGGAGTACTATTTCAATGATAGAGACTTGACGCGAAGTAGATTGTATTGTGTACATTCTTCTTTAATTTTTATTATATAGTTAATTTTTGCCTTAAAAAATAATTCTAGCTCATAAAAATATGGCGTGCAGACCAATAAATCACGAGTGTATATTTTTAATTTTAAAATTAGTTTTTCTAGAAAAACTCAAAACAAAAATGAATATAAAGACAAAAATATTAAAGATTTCGATTGAGATAAGGTGGGAAATTAGGGGACTTCGATTTAGGAAAGAATTTCATACAAACCTATGAGTGGGATTAAGAGGTTTGAATGACAATAGTAGAATTGTCGTGTTTTGGGATGATTTTTTTACTTTTTGGTCTGATTCTACTTATTCAAAACAGTGTTTTTGAGATTAAAAAAAATGAGAATAGTAAAATCGAGACTTGGAAGATAATTGAAGTAAAAGTGTGATTTTTTATTTTTAATTAAACGAGTACGTCGTCAACACAATTTTTATCTTCATTTGAGAATTATTTTATCCAAAATTATTTTCATTCACATATTTCATATGATCCATAATTTTTTCCTACTTTTAACCTTATATTCTCCCAATACAAAAAAAAAATAAAATAAAATTCATTTCTTCTTTCAAAAATCTCTTCCAAATGAGCTTTACAATTATAACTGTAGAAATAAAATTAATGTTAATTTATTACCAAATAAAAACAAAAACAAAAACAATTTCTACAACAAAACCCAGCAAGAAACCCAAAGGCATCTAGCCTTCCACCCTATACTTTTGGAGGTATAATTTGCGATTTACTTCCTTCATCAAGGCCCAAAGCAGAGCAGGTAGGAGCCGTCAATGATACGGTTCATCTTTTTCTTTTTAACGAACCCAAAGACATCTTCTCAGGCCCATGTAAAGAAAAGCCCAGTCCGAAACCAATTCAGTACTAGCACTTAGGGTTTTAATTATATCTCAATTCAATTCAAGAAACCTTCGTCTCCTCTTCGGGTATCGATTTCTGCAGTGCTGCCGCCTTCGCCTCTGCCTTTCGCCATGGTATTGTAAAGAATTCACCGTTGTGATTTATATGCATGTTTGTATATATCAGTGCGTGCCTGTGTGTATACATAGACGCTTAAAACAGTACCTTAACGATTCATTTGCTGTCTGTTGAATGATTGGACATTATAGGTGAAGTATTCCAGGGAGCCCGAAAACCCGACCAAGTGTAAGTTATGATATACTAACGGATATACACGATTACAACGCACCAATTTTGTTCTGGTTCTGCTAGAACAAGGTACAAGCAGTGGAAGTAATTGTGCTAAATTTGGCGAGTAGTACGTTATGCTTCAATTGCTGTACCTTACCCATGCAGGCCGAAAAATCATGGGCATTTTTTATCTTCTTTGTGGGGCTTACTTTTTGTGTACATTGAAATGATTGGTTTAAAAAATCTGAACCGAGGGTGTTGTATGTGTTTCAGCATGCAAAGCCAGGGGATCTGATCTCAGAGTTCACTTCAAGGTGGGTGTTTTTCGAGTTGATTGTTGGATTCTCTGTACTTTATTATTAATTACGATGAATTCACACATTTATCTTGGCTAATTTTTGGAGAATCCTCAGCTATTGATCAAAATTCTGTTGGTTGCAATGCTTCCCACTATGTGATAAATAAATGTTGTATTTGCTTATTCATTCTAGTTTTGGTTGATTGATGATAAGTTGTGATTTCATTATTTTTGGTTTAGTGGTGTGAAATGTTTCTGCTGTGTTCACCACGGCAGTTCTTCTTGTAGCATTGTTCAGATGTTTTATAAGACTTACGGAAGTTGGTTGTATTGATGATGTTACAGAGAAAGGCTCATAAACAATTCAACATCTGAACTGCATTTTAAATGATGCTCCTAAACTAAACTTAACTCCATTTTCAATAATTAGGGTTGCTATGTGAATATTTTTTAATCTTCTTTCTCCATTTGATTGATTTGTTGCTAGATCTACTAAAGGTACTAAAGCAACTAGATCTTTAACAACTACAACAAATCGTGTTAGTGGATTATCCCTTCCTCTTCTACTTGTTCTACCGTGATCGCATCTCTCTTATCAATATCAATGGGTGAAGAATAGGTCTTTGTCTTTGCTTAATTTATGCTCATTCAATGTCACGCCCTCTTGTTGGCCTATATTATCATTTATCATCTTATCAAAACGCTTGTCACAACAAAACATACAAAATAAATATGTAAAGAACAGGTCTTGATAAAGCAAACAAAAAATCATTTGGACTTAGATGCCATCAATATGTCATCTCTCGAAGTTCTTGCTAAATTAATTGAATTAATGAGGATTAGCAAAGTAGCACTCTAATGGACCATTATTGTCATATTTTTACTAGATTCCAAATTTATTTTTGATAGAGATTTTGAAGGTATAGTTTTGAGAGCAAGATTCACTCTATAATCTGATAAAAGGAATTTTTTTTCTTTCAGAAATTTGATGCTTGTCTGCATATATTTATTCTTTTGGATTTTGGGAGTTTTGTATGATCTGATTTTGATAGTGATTTTATTCTTGCTAAATCATGCTCTGCTACAATTTTACACTGTTTTCTTATTGATCTATTGTATACATTTTTACTTAGAATACAAGAGAGACCGCCCATGCTCTCAGGAAAATGCCTCTGTCCAAGGCCAAAAGATACTTGGAGGATGTTCTTGCCCACAAACAAGCTATTCCATTCACACGATTCTGTCGTGGGGTTGGCCGCACTGCTCAGGCAAAGAATCGCCATTCGAATGGACAAGGACGTTGGCCTGTTAAGTCAGCAAATTTTATTCTTGACCTACTCAAGAATGCTGAGAGTAATGCCGAAGTATGCATTTCTTTTTGTGAATAATTTGATCCATATTATTATAATATCTAGGGAAAATATGCCATTTAGTTGCACAATCAGTTCCCAACCACCAAAACTGTCCAAATCGTCATTAAATCAAGATGTGACTCTCACATGTCTAACTTTATGAAGCTATATTTTGTTTTCCTACTTGGGCTCAAGGCCATAAATCTGAATGAAGGCATGTTTCTATAGGGCTTAGAATTTAACGAAGATTTGGGCAGTTTTGGTAATTAGGACTGGTGAAAGGTGGAGAATC